TCAATAGACTTTTATATTTTGTTAAGAATCAAAGTTCTATATTTATAGAGAAGAATTAGGCATACAACGATAGTAATTTTTAGAGCTGCAGACGTGTTATTATCATTCACTAATAACCTTACTATTTATAGCACTCCCCATTGAATGATACGTTACAAAATATCTGCATCGTAAAAATCTTGTTTAATAAAATCCAATGGGACAAAAAATCAAAAGAAGGAAAAAGTGTACAATTATTTTGAAGTATTAAAAATAAATACTGACTCATTAAAACTTTACTAGAAAAATTCAGTGGAACAAAACCTAGACTAAGAAAAAAGTACAGCTACTCTCCCTGATGAAAATCATTGAATATCTTTGAGCCGACGCATTCCAATCTCGTGGACCAATTTCTTAAGTGTAGATGTTGGCAATGCTTTGTGAATAAACCTGCCATATTGTCACTTAAACGAATTTGTTAAATATCAACGTCACTATTCTTTTAAAACTCATGTGTATGAAAAGAATTTTGGAGAAATATGCTTCGTCCAGTCACTTTTGATATAGCCTTTTTTGAGTTGTGCAATACAAGCTGTATTGTCTTCATATAAAGATGTTTTACTATCTTTTATTGAAATTAATACACATGACACTTGGATATAATGTGACATGTTCCTTAACTATGCACATTCTCTGCCCGCTTCATGGATTGCAATGATTTAAGGATATTACTGTTAAGGATTACTTCACAGACTTCCATAATATAGCTCTTCTTCTACGTATAAACACGTATCCTATTTTGTGAGTTAGCTTTATGTGGGTAATCCCAAATCATTAATTCCCTTTAGGTAACGAAAAATATGTTTAACATCATTTCAATATCTTTGAGTTAGTGTAGAGCTATATTTTATAAGAAGATTTACAGAAAAAGATATGTCGGATCGAGTGCAGTTTACAAGATAAGTTAATGCTCCAATCACACGAAAATATGATATTTCAGGGCCATAAACATTTTCTCTATTTTCAAGTGGACGAAATGGATTCTTTTTAACATCAAGTCATCGAATAACCACATGTGAATGTGATGCCAATGGATATGCATTATCCATATAAAAACGTTTTAAGACTTTTCTGTACATATAGATTGACGAATAAATAATCATTCTGAAAAATGTTTAATCTACAACCTAAGAAAAAATTTGGGTTTTCTCAAAATTTTCATCTCAAAATCATTTTTTAAATAATTTGTGATTTTTTTGAGCTCTTGAGAAATTCCAATTAAATTTAAGCCCTTGTTTGAGCCTCATTCTTTTGAAAAAATGTATTTTTCAACAGTGTTTTAACATTATTTCAACCATACATTCTTCAATAAAATAATATACACGTAAATCCAAAATTTTTTCTTATTTTTTAACCACCCATTTTCCATCAATACACTATTCAAAAATTCATTTTTCCCAAAAAAATGGGACTCAAACAAGGGCTAAATCATTAGCATAAACTGTCATAATTGCAAATCCATTATTTTTTTTCATGAAAACACATAGACAAATATCGTCATTTTTATAATCATTATTCAATAAATATTCACTATGATGATTATACCACATGTGTCCGGATTGTTTCAATCCATATAACGATATTTGCAATTTAATTGAGAACATGATTCTAAGGCAAGTATCATTTGTTCTTGGTACTTTAAATCCTTTGGAAACTTTTATATATATGTCATTATCAAGTTAACCATATAAATAGGCAGTTATTACATTCATAAGGGACATATTGAGCTTTTATGACACAGTCAAACTAATTAAGAATCTAAAAGTGATGATATCAATTACGAGAGAATATATTTCCTCATAATCAATTTTTGGTCTTCTTGAGAAACCTTGAACTACGAGTCGAGCTTTGTATCTTGTAATTTTATTATTTTCGTTTCTCTTTTGTACAAAAATCCATTGTATTCAACAGAGATTACATTTTCAGTTATTCAAATTTCATGTCCAAACACTTCATTTCTCTAAGGAATTAAATTCTTCATGTATGACATCTTTCTATTTTAGCCAATCATTTTTATGTTGGTTCAGGATTCTCATTTAGCATAATATCAAGAGCCACGTTAAATGTGAAAATATAGTCTATAACAAAATTATCTTGTTCCCATAATTTATGAGATAACATATAATTTATTAAAATCTCATTATTTTCAGATACTTGTGGATCTTTAGGAACCATATTTTCAATATCTGATTAATCAATTTTTTTTATATTACTTCTTTCGAAGTTTTTTATTGATTTTTCTCTTGTACTCTTCTTTTTCGAAGTACGGCAGATTTCTTGCAGTGACATCAA